TTGAATTGAATTGAATTGAATATAGATCTCACCCATCGAACGAGTACTTGTTAGTGTTTGGCATGTCCAGGATATCCATTAGACCTTGGTTTCCTGCACGGCAAAAAGCAAATAAGAAAGATGTCTTCCATTCGTCTTAAATTGCATCATCAGCATTTGATAACAGCTTACGACGCCGTTCTGCCTGTAAAACAACCTGCTCACCTGTTGATCCCGCAACAATAGCTTTAAGCTTCCTCTGGTGTCTGCAGCACAACAGAAGAAAACACCATGAGAAGATAAGGTAACTCTGCACACGCGTGCTTCGGCTGCTTTTAAGATCACTGCGCATTTAAAAGAAATCTGCCATGACAGAAATATCTGCAGGATTCTTACACTCTGCGATAATGCCAGTTCATTGTTACAAACAAAATCCCTGCCAAGCACAGCAGCACGGCCAGGATAATGATCACCAGCTGTGAAAAGGGAAAGAGAAAGAAAAAAAAAGGCAACAGTAGGAAATAACTTCCACAGTATTTGAGCTCAGAAAGTCTGAGCTTTTTGCAGACCTGCAGAGTGGAGATGTCGTCGGGCAGTTTGTCACCAACAGCAGGCTGGACGTCCACTACGTTGTACGTCCGAAACAAGCTCCTCAGTTGCTCCTTGTTCTCATCGATCATTTGGATGACTCTGCAAACGTTTACACACAGTTAATACTGTGCATACACAGGCCTGACTGATCCAAACCTACAGGATGCAAAAGGGAAACATACCTTTCCACATCCAGGATGGTGTTGGTCTGGTTGTTGACGACATGGATGAGCATGTCGGTCTGAGCGTAGCTCACTCTGCCTTTCTTGTCCACATGAAACTACAGGTTGTTAGAGTGAAAGAAAAATGCCAATTTTTTGCAATGTTCTATGTTGCAAGAACACATTTTCAATGTATTTCACTGTGATTTGATGTAATAAACCAACAAACATGATCTTCAAATTAACAGATAAGGAGAAATATGTGGCATATCAACACATTTAGTCGATTTTTAGGGCCACAAACCCACTGTTTAGCTTGGGAAAAACACCAACCTGCAAAACATCCAGACCTTTCAGGTCTCTGGCTCCAATCTACTTTGCAGAACCAGAACCAAACATGAACATTTTACACTCCACTGATCTGGAATAAACTCCCATAAACCTGTAAGCACTGAAACTCTCAGCTGCTTCACAGGGAAATTAAAAACATATGTTAAGATTTTTATATCTAAACAGAAATTTTATAGTCCAACTTTCTCTCGTTTTATTACTTATTTTTTAAATGTCATCTTAACTTACTTTTTCCTTAGTATTCTCTTTAATTTTTTAGTTCATTAATTATTTAATGACCTTTATGCAGACATGTTCACAAGTCATTTTTTGCAAATCCAAGTCAAGTCTTAAGTACGGAAGAGGATTAGGGCCACTGGAAAAAAAAAAA